GCGCTACTTCACGGTCAGGGCGGCTAGAGTCTGGAACCAGCTTCCAAGTGAGGTGGTGCAGGCTCCCACCCTGGGGGTTTTTAAGAGGAGGTTGGATGACCACCTTACTGGGGTCGTTTGACCCCAGTGCTCTTCCTGCCATGGCAGGGGGTCGGACTAGATGATCTGCTCAGGTCCCTTCCAACCCTAGAAACTATGAAACTGTACCTTTTTTTATTGCCTGCCTTCTCTGTTCCAGAGAAGGCAGGCAATGTGTTTTTTTTCACATCCTTCCTTTTTGACTATTTTTCTCCCCGCGATCAGTGACAGTGCTGGTGCTTTGACAAAATGAGTAGCTGCTTGCTGAGCTTCAAACAGAGAGTGAGCTTCTTACCTACTTAGTTGCTACACAACGCATCGCAGGAGTGGACACAGGCATTTCATGGTTATAGCAGGGCTCGGTGGTATCCCTGTCCTACCAGCGGGGTAACCAAGGCAGGAGACAGGGGTCTGCTATGGAGCACCCAATAAAACAGGCAACTCCTGCCCTCTCTCCCTCCCTCCAGGGTCCAGTTGGTGGCTTTGGGGCTTGTGTGGGAACTGGAGGGCTCCATGGGGCTTGGTCTGTGAATGACCTCCTCTCCCCCAACTCATTCCCAGGTGCAGTGCAAGTGGTGGTGGCCTCCCGGAGCCTCTGCTGGGGCATGAATATTGCTGCCCACCTGGTGATCATCATGGACACACAGTACTACAATGGCAAGATCCACGCGTGAGTATCCTAGGGGGTTGTTGCAGGTGAGGCATATATTCAGGAGGGGTCCTTGGCACTGCAGCCATCTCTTGCTCATGCCCCTTGCCTGTCTGCCTCAGGTACGTGGACTACCCCATCTATGATGTGCTGCAGATGGTGGGCCACGCCAACCGCCCCCTGCAAGATGACGAGGGCCGCTGCGTCATCATGTGCCAGGGCTCTAAGAAGGTGAGAGGGTGGGGGAAGGGATGCACCTGGGGAACAGTCTGGCTTGGCTTAAACACCAGCATGGGAGAAAGACATGCCAAGTGTTCTGGAAATGCAACCAGCTCTGTGGTGTGGCCAAGCCCCACACAACACCACTATGACATAAATCGTGCCTTGGTCCTCCCCATCTCTGGTCCCTCCCTCTGAGCTGATCATGCCAGACAGGTCTAGAATCCTTGGCGTGACCCTGGTGACCCCTAGCATTGCCCCCAGTCAGGTGCAGCAGGGGCACAGGGGTTCCCTCAGGGCCATGAGGCACAGCCGGTGATACCTCCATTCTGTCGACCCTGGGGCCCTTAGTATTGTGTCCTGTCACCATCCCTCCCTGGGTAGGATTTCTTCAAGAAATTCCTGTACGAGCCACTGCCCGTGGAGTCGCACCTGGACCACTGCATGCACGATCATTTCAATGCCGAGATTGTCACCAAGACCATAGAGAACAAGCAGGACGCTGTTGACTACCTGACCTGGACCTTCCTCTACCGTCGCATGACCCAGAACCCCAACTACTACAACCTCCAAGGTGAGTCCTGGAGTGGCAGGAGGTTAGCTCAGGGATGAGCAGTATAAGGGACCAAGGGAGCTAGCTTGAGCAGACAGGCCCTGGCTAGAGAGGGGGCATGCCCATTTCTTCTCAAGCAAATTGCTTTATCAGGAAGCTGAACACACATTTAAAGAGCATTGTGACCAATCAAGGGAAAGGCAAGAGCTTACTCAGGCTTGAAAGGATGAATCGGAGCCAGACCCAGGGAGCTTTGAGCTCTCATTAGTGGTTCAGTGCCCCTGCCAACTCGAGTCTGTCGTTCCTCTCCTTCCCCCAGGTTTTAAGGTAATGGGTAGAGATCATTCATAACATGTATCTGTCTGCAATGTGATTGGATGTATGCAAATGAAAGGAGTTAATTTGCCTGCCCCCTTCCCAAGCTAGGTGATGGATAATGGTTTAACTAGGACAGTCTTTCAGAAGTTGACAGGTTTTCATGCTTCACAAAGGGTATTCCTAATGGTAGTGCATCTCTGTGTTGCATCTCATGAACTGAGTTGCAGGTCATGAAAGTGTGTGTGTGTGTATTCATAGTTTCTAGGGTCAGAAGGGACCTGAGCAGATCATCTAGTCCGACCCCCTGCCATGGCAGGAAAGAGTACTGGGGTCAAACGACCCCAGCAAGGTGTTCGTCTAGCCTCCTCTTAAAGACCCCCAGGGTAGGAGCCAGCACCACTTTGCTTGGAAGCTGGTTCCAGACCCTAGCCGCCCTGACCGTGAAGTAGCGCCTCCTGATGTCCAACTTAAACCTTCCCTCCGCCAGCTTGTGACCGTTGTTCCTGGTCACTCCTTGCGGCGCTTGGGGGAACAGGGACTCCTCCAGCACCTGCTGATCCCCCCCAACCAGTTTATAACAGGCCACAAGATCCC